CAATTTTCACTATATTTTATTAATAAATTTAACCCTTGAGTTATTACTTTTAGTCATCATATATACTTAAAATGAATAAATTTTAAGAAATATAATTATAATTAAATATCTTTATCTTTTAGAAAAGAAAAAAATTATAAATAGTTTATTTCTAATAATAATTAATAATAATTAACTTTTATATATTAAAGTTTATATTATATATTCAAATTTTAATTAAGATAGCTAATAAATAAATTAGATTTTATAAATCAAGTAATTAATAAAATTATTTTAATTTATAAATATATTTAGAAAAAATTATATTTTTATATTTAATAATAGTTATAATTATAATACTTATACTGAGATATTCTTATAATTTTATAAATAAATTTAATAAATAATAATAGATAATTACTTTTTTATAATAATAAAATATTTAATAAATTTTTATATAATTTAATATTTATTAATATTAATAATATAATAAAATCAAAAAGTATCAAATAAAAATATGATTTGTAATTAAAAAATAATATAATACTTATAAATTATATATTTTTAATCTAATAAATGCTTAATATTATATAAGTAAAGTTCTTCATTATTGATTTAATTTTATTTCTTAAAAAAATTACTTATAAAAGATTATTAAAGTAATCAGATACATATATATTTTTTATTTAAAATTTTATTATAAACTTAATTTTATTAAGTTATTCTGAAATAAGATAAAGTAAAATATATATATATATTTATTATAATTATTTATTTAAAATCTCAAGATAATTATTCTATTAATATTAAATGTCTGTTAGTCTTATTAATATTTATTATTATATATATTAATCTGCTTAATATATGAGTATTTATAAACAAGATTACTTAGATAAAGTTATTATTTTTACTATTAAAAAATATAAATTACATTATCAGATTTAGATAATATTTTGCATAAGTTTAATTATATAGATTAGTATTAAAACTTGATTAATTCAGAAGTAATTTAGAATATGATATTAGTAAGAAAATAAAAGTAAAAGTTGTATTTGATAATGATATTTTTTTAGATAAAAATAGCTCTTATTTTTTATTGTAATTCTTAAAATATATTAAATAATACATAAAAATTTAAGATTTCACTCAATTAAATTATAAGTTAATCATTATTTATTAAATACATATGATATTTAATCAATCAGAAATATCTCTCTAAATACTAAAAATTCATTTTATTTATTATTAATGTATATTTTTTTCATAAAAAATATATTAGTTTGTAGATTTTATTGAAAACTATTTAATAATATATTTTTTTTATCATTATATTTTTATTTGTAAAGTCTTTACATTTTAAAGTATTGGATGTCTTTAGATAATCTACATTATATAAACCAAATAAATTTTAAAAAAAGCGATTTACATGGACAGAGACAGACTCCGAAATGCCGGAAGGACGGAAATCACATGATCTGTCTTTTTTTGGTTACTATATATGATAAACTGACGTCACGCGTTCATTATCACACTTGTGTTCGAAATTTTTTTTTGAAGCAAACCTAAATTTAGAAACTAAATCTGTCCAGCCTTCGCTTGAGAGTTGACTGGAGAATTGGTTGTACAATTTACAATAGTGAACTTAAATACAGAATAAAATGATAAAAAGCCAAATCTCGAGTTTTTATGTTATAGCGAGCTGAGCTGAATGAGTCAACTAAAATGAATTTACGTTACGGGGCAATTTTTGTTTCGATAGTTTGGCTGGTAATCATCTTATTTCTATAAACATGACATGATACATATTAATTCAATATTTCGTTACTTAATAGTTGATAGGTTTAATAGGATTGATTCAAATCATACTCTCAATAATAGCATCACCAGAAGATAATTGCAAGTCATCCAAGTTTATTTTTTTCATTGATCTTAAATTATCTTAAATAATAGTTTAATAAATTATATATTCTCGATTAGTCTTCACAAATTTCGAAATATTCTCAATATTTGATATCGTGATAATTTCATTGGTCGTAATAGCTTCAGGATATGGAGTTGTTGTATTATGCTGGTTTGTAAGTAAATGATCTTTCCTATGCAATCACAAGCTCACTATCGTAATAAATCTCTCTAATACTAACAATTATTATTAGAATACTTACAGTTGCGTAAAACTCTACAAAATTCTATCATATCTGATAACAGCATGTTATGTCTTCTTTGCAATAGCAGATTTATCATTTATCGCCATACATAAACAATATTATATCGACAGCTGTATTCAAGAATTATCGCCGAAATCAGGAATCCATGATGATACATATTATAATTTTGCAATTTTTTGTGATAATACGTATACAAAAGTTTTTGATCTTTTCATAGTTTTGGGAATCACCGCTAGTTTATTATCGGTGAGTTTAGATATAAAAATTGCTTTATTTGGTTTTGGGAATTCGCTGTTAATTATAAATATCTTTTGAATTGGATGATAGTTTTGTTGTTCGATGATAGTTGCTGCGTATGAACAACATTTTCCACATGAAAATCCATGTGTGGATGAACAACAATATGAACGTGAACGACAAGCATACATGTAAACAAGTTTTGATCCACTGTGATGTAATAGAAGATGTCAAAAACCTATTGTTGTATAAAAAATTAGCTAATGGTTGTTATATATATATATGATAAGTTAAATTTCATGCTTGTCCTCATAAAATTATATTTTATTTTGATTTTTATTATAATTTACATAATTTACACAGTACAAATTAACTAGAGAATAGTTAATATATAAATCTATTCAAATCTTGATATTCCGAGTCACAGACCAGATAAGCGTCTTTTAAGAGCCATAATATTATGATCCTCCTATTAAAACATAATTTCTTTAGTCCACGAACGAAGACTATGTTATATTGATATGATCAGAAGGAAAAGGTCACCTTAATAGTCATTAAGAGAGATTTCCTAGCTCGTTTGTGGACTTTAAAAAAGTGATTTAGAGCTTCATTCAGTTCATATTCCTCTTTTTCATCTGATTTTTTTTGTGTGATAATGTTACATTCAATTAGTTTGTACTTTGGTCATAAAATAATGAGCTTCGATTCTCAAATCTCATCAATTTATAGTATGATTAATTACTCACAAAGATGCTTCAAATCATCATCAAGCTTCCTTCGAAATTTCATTGATTGATTGTGAAGTTTGATGAGATGCTCTAACGTTTTAGTAGTAGATGACTTTAAAAAAAATGATATTTAAAGTTTTATTATTTTTCAATTGATCACTGATGAGATAGAAAAAAATAATCTTATAATATGATATCATACCTGATAATTTTCAAAGCCAAGTTTAAACTTTTTAATATTATCCTCTTTCCGCGTTAAACAATCATCCATTTTCTTTTTTGCATTTAGGATTATTTCGCGCCTGATAAAGTAAGATTGCAATTGAATATTTTGAATCTTCTCCTTCTTAATATATCGTACCTTTCATTCGCCCAATTATTCAAGATTCCTCCTTCTCCGTCAATCTTATTAATTGTTTCATTCAACCTTTGTCCCTGTTCATGTTCAAATTGATGAAAACGCGTATTTGACTTCTTTTGCTGTTTAGCTTTATCGGATAAAGATATTGTAGTGAGGATTCATTATCACCATTAAAGGATCATGATTAGAGAGGGGAAGAGGATCGTGACAGCCATATCTTTCATGAATAACCAGAACTTACATTGAAGGAGTCCAACAATTTCATTAATATCTGAACTTCTTTTAATAAAACATTATAAGTAAAAAACGCGTATACTGACTATAATTAAAGAAAATGGTGAAGAAATTTACTCTAGATTGCCCAATTCGTCATCACCAACTTCCAAGTCATCATCATCATCTTCATAAAATTCATCATCTTCACTCATTATTGAATAGTCTTCCTCTTCAAATTCAGACGCGATTCTAAGACCAGTAGTGGTGTTCTTTTTACTTTTCTGTCCTTTTGCTTTACTCCTTGTATTATACGTTTTGGTTACAGCAGTAGTTGTGGCTTTCTCATTGTTGCGATTTCTTGTCGCGGTGCTCTTTCGGGTTCTTGGTTTAGCTGTGACTTATTTTATTCGCATATTTAATAATAATTAAGACTTGACTTCAAGTTTTCAGCAAAACATTAAACTACAATAGATAAAAAGTATACACTTGAATATTCATCACTATCGGATAGAGCAAAGTTATTAATTGTTTTCGTCGCTGCTTTAGCTCTTTTTCGAACACCAACACCATCATTAATTGTCTGCCCAATATTAACTTTTGTATTTGATTTCGTTGCACGAGTTCTAGGCATTTATTAGCAGCAACTCACTGGTTTCGTTACTAATGGAATATAAATATGATAAAGGTCACATGTATGATAATCAACTTTGACATGCGACATTTTATAGATAATACCAAAAAGTATCCGACCACCTGATTTATGATTGCCAATCATTACCTATTAAAATGAGTTTTACGCAACTCTTGTCTTTAGCTATTCGAAAATAAAAAAAATTTTTTTCTTTTA